TTTTTTTTTTTTTTTTTTCTTGGTACTTGGAACGTTGGGCCTAGACAGATGTGGTTCTGTTTCTAGGAAAGTTGGGAGCTGAGTACTTTATGGGAAGTGTTGGCATGTAGTCTGGGAGGGGCAGATGCCCCTATACAGCCTAGGGTTGGCCAGCCCTGGGCGAGGCCGGGAGTGAGGAATCAGGGTGGCTTCCTTGTGTACACTCATCTTGCTGGTGGACGGCTTCGTGGGTGTGTGGAGGTGCCGAGGTGTGGGTCATTCATGCTCACCTCTGTCTCGGGGAAGGTAAGCTGGGAGGATTACAGTGGCTCCATGTCCCTATTCAGGACTCCGACTTCAGCTTGCCGCCTGGTTCTGCGTCTGGACCTGCGGGGAATCCGGTAGTGAAGCTTCAGGACGCCTTGGCTAGTAATGTAAGTCTGCACTTCCTCTGCCCCGCCGCTGTCCACCCACCCACAGCGCCTGCTGTCTCGGCTCAGGGCTCCCTGGGTTGGGGTCACGACTGTGTTTGTAACCATGCCTAGGAGTAGGGACCTGCTGGTCGAGTGATGTCATTACAAGGTCTGGGACGCTTTCATGTCTCTCTGTGCCAGGCATGGCCAAGACCTGTGCAGGCTTCCGTTGGCCAGTGGGGGGCGGGGATAAAGCAGGAAAGACCCTGAGTGCCATCTTCCCAGGGTGCCTGCAGTCTGGCTGAGCGCTGTGATCCAGGAGCCCTCCTGTCTCTCTGCCTGCTTGAGGCCACAGCTAGGCAGTGCGGTGACATTTCCACAACGCGCCTGTGTCCTTGCCTGGTGGGTGGGTGCTGGGCAGAGCTGCTGAGGAGTGAGGCTCGCTGGGCAGCACCGCTCAGGTTTCAGGGAATATTACTCCCGCAGCACGGTGCTAGGCTTTGCGTGAGAACGAGTTCTGTGATCACCAGGGTTCCCTACTCTGAGGCTTCTGTGTCCTGTGGCAGTGATAGCATCGTTGTCCGTGCTGTCACCACCCTTCTTACCGAGGGTCAGGGCCCAGGTCTCGGTGATGGAATCCCAATAGATCCTTCTGACCCTCCACTGTGGACTCAAAAGCAGGGAGATGAAGAGGACTGTGACTGAGAGACCGGGCCGCCCTCACCATAGCCTTCTGAGAGTTGTCACGTTCTCCTGCTCTCTGGTCCTGCCACAGGGTCCAGCACTGCATTTCCCGCCTGTGGATCAGTGCCCTCTTTCTCAGTTTCCTGAGGGGCCTTGTAGCAGGCAGACTTTCCCTGGCTGGCCCTGGGCACCTCTGAGCCGGAAAGCACAGTCCACTTTCATGTTGCTTAGAGGTGCCTGCCTGTGGGGGCTGCTGAGCAGGGCTGTCTGGGGGGCATCAGTATGGTCACGGGTGTGGCAGCCAGGCCTGCAGAACCTGGACAGGTCACCTGGTCCCCTCGGTTCCGTCTGCGTCTTCCACAGTGTCCTTTCTCCCCATCTCCAGGCAGGGTTAACACAGAGCATTCCCATCCTCCGGCGGGATCATCACATCCAGAGGGCCATCGGCCTGTCCCCGATGTCCTTCCCCACCGCTGACCTCACGCTGAAGGTAACTGGGCCCTGAGCTGGGTGAAGGGGCAGAGGGAGGAGCTCCTGTGCCCGGCTCAGCCTGCCAGGGTCCCCCTGCGCCTGGCGGCCTTGGCACCCTTCCCTCCCTCTCTCCCGAAGATGGAGTCTGCGCGCAAGGCGTGGGAGAACTCGCCCAGTTTGCCGGACCAGAGCTCCCCAGGAGGAGCGGGATCGGGCATCCAGCCTCCATCCTCAGTGGGCGCCTCCAGCGGAGTAAACTACAGCTCCTTCGGGGGAGTGTCCATGCCACCCATGCCTGTGGCCTCTGTAGCGCCTTCCGCTTCGATGCCAGGTAGCACATCCTGAGCCAGGCTGGGGGGCCTTCTCCATTCAGAATCTAACAGCCTTGACTTCTGGAGCGTGTGGGAGGACACGCTTGTATTAAGCTGACGGTCACAGCCTCCTGTGTGCTGTAGATAAGGTGCACCCCAAGCTGCCCGGTGTGGGGCGTAGCAAGGCCCTCCCACCTAACGGCAAGGGCAGTGGCCTGGAGTCAGCCAGTCAGCCCCAAGGCTGTGCCACCCCTGGCAGTGAGCAGCTCACCAGGCTGCAGCTTGCTCCTCTAAAGTGGCCAGTGACAGTGCTGCGTGCAATGCACACCCGTGCCGCTGGGACTCACCTGGAAGGTGCCCTCCAGCAGTGGTAGCCACTTTAGCTCTTGTCACCATCCTTGTTGCAGTGTCAGTACCCCAAGGAAGTGTGCAGGGGTATGGAGGGCCGGCTACCAGGGTCTCAGTGATGTGGTTCCTACAGATCCTTCTGACCCTGCACTTGGGCTCAGTAGCGGGGAGTGAGGTGGACCGTGCCTGAGACACCAGGCCACCCTCCGGGAGTAAATGGCTGAAGTTGGAGGCGAAGGATAAGTGGGGGCGGGAGGGTGGGGGTGCACCACGGCACCGACCAGGGCAGCCCCGCTCCCTCTGCTCTCACCCGCGAGTCCCGGGGCAGGTGGACAGTGCTCTCAGGGGACGGGACAGCAGCCCACCTTGACCCCTTTCTGCCTTCTCCGGGTCATTCCAGGCAGCCACCTCCCACCTCTGTACCTGGACGGCCATGTGTTTGCAAGTCAGCCCCGGCTGGTCCCTCAGACCATACCTCAGCAGCAGAGCTACCAGCAGGTGAGGATGGGGGCCCAGGGCGGTCCCTTCTTGCTTCCTGCATTCTTTCCACATGATGCCCGACACCGGCACATCACAGCCAGAGGGCGCTGCTTGAATGAGTAAGCCAGGGACAGGGAAGAGGAGACTGAATGAATGCTGGAGGCCCCATACTTTTCCCTCCGAGTCCTTCCTCCGGGGGGCTAGCTGGGAAATTAGCTGAATTGGAGTTTTCCCTGGTGATCAGGTGGTCTGATGGAGAGAGGAAGGGGCCTGGACCCCAGGTACGGACGTGTTAGAGACAGGTGGTGGTAGAAACGCAGGTGTCCGGTATTGTGCAGGGTGGGCATACTCGCCGCCTGTGCTGCCAGGGGTGGTGACCTTTGCAGTCTCCCCTGAAAGCTGATGTCCATCAGTTCTTGCCCCTGTACCCACACACCCTGAGCAGAAGGCTGCCCGGAGGATTTGCTCCCAGTGCAGACTTGGGGTTTGGACAGAGCCTGTGGCCCTCACCTCTTTAAGACATTCTTAATTAGTGTTTTTACCTGAGACTTCATTGATCTTTATATAACTGGCTCATGCCGCCTGTAAGTTTTATTCAGCATTTTTCTGAAACACCATATTTCATCTCCATCAGTACGTGTAGCCAGAATTCCCTCTCACTGCTGTTTGAAGTTGCAGAGTGGGATACATGTTGGCCTGGGGTTGCTCCCCGATTTCACTGTTGGCTTTACCCCAGGAGCGAGGGGGTCTAGGCAGGACTCGCTGGGCCGTGCCCTAGGGCAGCGTCCCAGCCACTGCTCAGCCCCTGGCTTCTGTTCACAGGCTGCCGCTGCCCAGCAGATCCCGATCTCCCTTCACACGTCTCTGCAGGCCCAGGCTCAGCTTGGGCTGAGGGGCGGGCTGCCTGTCTCCCAGTCCCAGGAGATCTTTAGCTCCTTGCAGCCCTTCAGGTGAGCGCGTGAAGATTAGAGCATGGCCAGAGCTTTGGACTGTCCTGGTTTGGGCCTGGGACTCGCCTCCTGTGGCCTGCTCCTGCAGTGCACCCAGGGCCCTGGGCTTTGGGCATCCTTCTGTCTTCCTGTGCCTGGCACAGTGTGGCTATGTCCCTTGTTTCTCTGACCAGCAGTGTCAGGTCCCCCAGCCCCGCTAGGTGGCGCTAGGGGGGGGAGTGGGGACCTGCATTCTACTACCCAAGCCTTCGGGATCTTGGTGGTTGCTGGCATTGGGGGTGGGGGCACATCCACCTGACGCGGTGTCCGTGTGCTTCTGCAGGTCTCAGGTGTACATGCACCCCAGCCTGTCACCACCCAGCACCATGATCTTGTCTGGGGGTACAGCCTTGAAGCCTCCATATACAGCGTTCCCGGGCATGCAGCCCCTAGAGATGGTGAAGCCCCAGTCTGGCTCCCCCTACCAGCCCATGAGCGGAAACCAGGCCTTGGTCTACGACGGCCAGCTCGGCCAGGCTGCCGGGCTGGGTGCTTCCCAGATGCTGGACTCCCAGCTGCCACAGGTCAGGAGTCAGCCACCCTTGCTTTCCAGCAGCAGGCTCCTTCCTGTGACTAGCTCTGTTCCCGTCCTCCCTCGTGTGTGTGCTGACGCAGCCCTTGTAACCCTGTGACAGTCTGAGCTGCTAGACCTCAGCCTCTTCACCTGAGAGCTCTCCCCAGTTGGAGGCCACTTCCTCTCTCCCCCATGCTGTGGTTGGGTGGATAGGGGTCAGTATCTGTCTTTTCTCCCCGAATCCGCACCAAAGACTGCCCCGCTCACGCTGCCAAAGCCCATGTTTGAGTAGAAGTCCTCTCCTGTCCACTGTGCCCCTCTGCGGTCCTCAAGTTTGTCGTTATCAGTAGCTGTGCGTCTTCACCTTACCACATGCACGATCTTCCGTGGGTTCCCTGGGCTCTGCCACGCCCCACCCCTGCCCCATGCTCCCTCCCAGGCCCCCTGTGGGCCTGCGGTACAACAGCAGCCAGGGCAGCCCTTCCGGTCGGGCCACACAAAGCCAGTGCCACGGCCGCAGGGGTGCTCTGAGCTGGGGCCGTGGCGCCACGTGCTCAGTGATGTGGTCCCAGCGTATCCTTCCGACCCTCTGTGGACTCAACAGTGGGAAGATGCGGAGGACTGTGGCCTGCCTGGCCCGTTCTGGCTTTAGGCCTGCACACACCGCTGTTCTACCTGAGCATACTTCCAAATGCCCCTCGAGCTCTCGCTGGGGCTTGTTTCCCCCTCCCAGTCCTAGAGAGTTGTGTATGCTAATCCGACTTTTGTTTTACTCAGGATCCTCCTATCTTCTGGGACTTAGTTTGGCTGTTACTTTTTTGCCTACTACTTCTTATTTCCTGGCTGGCCTAGCTCATCCTTGCCTTCCCAGCCCCAGGCAGCCCATGAGGGAGGCGCGTGCGCACACACACACACACACACACACACACACACGGACCGAGTGCCTTGCG